TTATTTTTTTTTTTGTGAAGGGGTAATCACTATGGAAGAACTTGCATCAGTCATCCAATCATTGAATGAACATCCAACAAGGGAAGAAATTCAAGAAATGCTTAATGAGGCTGATACTGATGGAGATGGTACCATTGATTTTCATGAGTTTTTGAGTGTCATGACAAGAAAAACAAAGGTAATTAATTAATGATTTTTTTTTTATTTTTTTTAAAAAAAAACAATTTAAGATGAATTTAAACATTATTATATTATTAGTTTAGTCAATTTAATATATTCATACATTAGATATTTTTATGTAAAAAAAAAAAATTAACATAATTGAAAAAAAAAATAAAAAATTGATGGATTTTATTTATTTATATCAGGAAAATGTGGCAGATGAGGTGAAAGAAGCTTTCAGGGTGTTTGATCGTGATCAAGATGGATTCATATCGGGGATTGAAGTGAGTACACTTCAATAATTACTTTATGCCAAGTATTTATTCATTTCCCATTATACATATACTAGTTATAGCCCGTGCATTTGCACGAGAAGCGATATAGTATAAGAGAAAGAGTACATGATTGAAAACCCCTTCAATCTGACAAAAACCGTGTGTATATAAATGTTGTATATAAAGAAGTTATATACGTGATTGAAAGAGTACGGCTGACTAACTGTTAGACAATCTGACAAAATACTTACTAATATTTCATTTTTTTTTTCTTTTCTAGTATTGAGCATTGTTACCTTGATTTCGGTATATACACGTTAGATAAAACATTAATTGATTAAGATTGTTATTTTCTAAATATTAATGATATATTTTGCAGCTGAAAAATGTGATGATGAATTTGGGAGAAAAACCAACAGATGAAGAAGTTGAACAAATGATACGAGATGTTGATCGAGACGGCGATGGACTCGTTAGCTATGAGGAGTTCGTGAGGATCATTCTGGCTTAATATCACTATATAATCCAATTTTTTTTTAAGAAATATATATACCTATTTATATTATAATTCTAGATAACTAATTGTTCCTTTTAATTTTGAAAAAAAAAAAATGCATGGGAGCACAAATGAAGCATGTAACTTGGGGCATTACCATGTTAGGGTATTTTTAGCGTCCTAGTATTTTTTTGTGTGTTCTTAAGTATTATTCTGTTGGGGTCGGGTCCAGACGGTCTTTGACTTGTCTTTCCAGTTTATTCAACTGTTGGTTGTTTGTATTGAGCTGGTGACTACATTTTTTGCACTTTTGTGCGATTTATATAATATCTCTATCGTTTCGAAAAAAAAATAATAATTTGGCAATGACGCGCATGTTATGGCTTGTGAGCAAGGCATGTCATTATCTTAGTGAAGACATGGACTTGAGAAAATGTCCAAGAGCCAACTACAAGTGTCACAGAGAATCTTACTGTAATGGTCTCATGTTTGTTAAGATGATCTCAGATCGTGTTTCACTATGAAATAAGATATATTTGAAATCTCTTTCCTAATATGAAAGGGTTAACTTGGAGGAAACGACAATTCCTACAAAATGAGGGTTCAAGGTTCTATTATGATAACATATAATATATCTTCTCATAAAAATAGTCCCTGAGTCGATTACTGACTTGAGCGTCAGATTTTTCCACCGAGAACTCTCATGTGTTCAGTTCCGATCCGAGGGGAAATTGCATACCAAACTTGTATTAGAAGTAACTTTTTTATTAGAATGATGTTATTTCTAAACGTTTTTCTTTCATTGTATTGTTGTTTTATATATATGCTAAAACTGGTCTATACATTGTGAATTTGTGATGTTATGAGTAAGAATTTGAGAGAACTTTAAAATTCTATGTTGCAATTATGCTATATATATAAAGGTAATAATGTAGTTTTAAAATATATATTTAAAATTACCCAAGAGCGCTT